GCCTGAAAAGTTTTCTGCTGTTAATAGTTTTCTAAAGAAGCAGTTTGATTGGCAACATGAGAGCCAATCAGAAGCGTCAGAGCGGCACTGAACCAAACAGCTGTGGCTGCAAACACAGACACACAGTGTGCAACGTGAAAAACATGCAGAGCAACAAAGAAAATTCAACATGATGTTATCAAACATTTTTATTAATTGTCACTTAATTACACTTTTCCACATGAGTTAAATTTGTTTTATAACTAAATAAGATGCAACTGGTTCCTCCCAGAAACACTGAAATCTAAGTTTTTAATAAAAAGTGCAGGTCCAGATCGGAAAGGTACAAATACCTCGTGTAGTACTGTGTGTATTTGGAAAATACAGCTGCAGTACATATGGAGTAGTTTTACTTTGAGGAGCTGGAATTAAAAGACCTTCATTGTGTAGAAGAGTGGTTCTCAGAGTGGGGTCCCTGAGGAGGTTCTAGGGGCCCCAGCAGAAAGTGGAATAGTTTATTTTCATTATAATGAGTAACAGTGAATGTTTCTCTCACTTTCTATAATAAAACTTCTAAAAGCGAAGATTCTGTCAGACTGAGACAAACCCTTATCAAAGGGGGGCCCGCGGTCTGATTTGAGTCTGTTTAGGGGTCCTTGATGTGAAAAAGTTTGAGCTCTGTGTGTAAAAATGAGGCGAGTGACGAATCTGCTGCAGGTAGAAATGTTCAGGTGTGGACAGGTTTTAGGCGGACCTGGTGGGGAACCGGGGCCCTGTGTGGATCTGGATCGAGGTGTTTCAGAGGGAAACGTGGAGCTCTCAAACTAAAACATTTAAACAATCAGTGCAGAATATATTCAGCCAGAGGAAGTAAAAGTACCACAGGACAGAAATACTACACTACAGTCCTGCTTCACAGAGGTCCGCAGGATAATCAGAACCTGAATGAAGACCCTGAGGCTCCCTGGGGCCAGTAGACCCGACCCGACTATGAGATGTGAGCTCGTCCTGTGGAGGACTTCTAGAACTGATCCAGGACTCATGCAGAGTTTAGATCTGCTCTGAATTTCAGCCCACAGTTCAGAAGAGAGACAGATCAGCAGGTCGGTCCCTGTAGGATCAGGGCTCTGTAGGATCAGGTCCCTGCAGACTCACCTGGGGTCTCAGGTAGGAAATGGTGTCACGCAGTATTTACAGCAAGCAGAGTACTTCACATCCTGTACCACCCAGAGATATCTGCAGGTCAGACAGGTGAACTTACTTTGCACACTGAGTACTTTTAGTACCTGGTAATACTTATTATTTAGGTCAAAGATCTTAATACTTTCATAGTATTCTTGTATCAGCAGATGTTTATCATTTAACTCAGTTAACCTTTAAACAGCTGTGGATGACAAGTACATTTACCTGTACTTGAGTATTCTACTTGTACTCCAACAGATCTCAGGGGGAAATACTTTATACTTCACTACATTTATACAATTTACAAATTGTGATTTTCACGCACAAAAAATGTGAAGAGTTTATAAAATTTGATGTTTTGTTATAAACAGTTTGTACAAGTACTGCTGAAACATTACTTTACTACTAATGTCTTGATCGTTATACTACAGCTGTAAAATCCTGCTTTTACATCAATGCATGAGTCCTAACAATAATCTCATGATATAATATTTAATAGTACAACAGTGATTACCTTTTAATAATATTACTACATTTTCCTGATTGTACTTATACATACTTAAGTAACATTTTCAGTGCAGTGTTTTTACTTGTGAGACAGTGTAGGAGTACTTTTACTTAAAGTTAAGTAAAGTTAAAGAGGTAAACGCAGTTCTGTAACTGAGCAGAGGGGGGCGCCTTCATACCGCTGTCAGCTCAGCCAGGAGCCACAGGAACACTGATCACAGGAAATATATACATGTATATATATGTATATGTATCTGAGGTTGTACAGTGAAATAAAGGGTGGTGTTCCCCACAGCACGTAGCAGATCAGTAGTTTTTGTGTAAATATAAATAACTGAAAATGGCCTGTTGTTTTATTTAATGTGCTCTAACAGACCTTTTATTATCTGCTGTATGTCGGGCTTTTTAAGGGAACACAATCTTTCAGTTCTTTGTCCAACCCTGTGTTATAAATGATTAATAAATTACCTTCATAATTATCATTTGTAATAACTGATCTGTGGCACTGTGAAGAACAAACTGTGTGAGCCAATCAGAACCTCAGGAGTCCACCTGTGCTCAGGGTCAGCAGGCGGATCAGGTGTGACTATCAGCACCATCATACCTGCAGGTACTTTCACACAACACTGCACAGCTGTTTACATTCAGCGCTGCCTCGTTTATTATATAAACTTCACAGTCTTTATGTTTTGTTTTTGTTGTTTTGTGGATCTACAGCAGACGTCAGACTCGGTAAAGGAATCTGAATCTGACTGAATGCGTTTCACTCGTTTACATTCTGATAATAAAATCTATAATAAATAAATGAGTTTCAGGCATTTTCCTGTTTCTAATCTGAGAGCTGCTGGTTTGTGAAATTGTTTAGGTTCAGTTTGTAAAATCTGAGTCTGTAAAGGAACATGTAACTTCTGGAAGTATAAAGTATTATTATCAAGTAAAGTATGAGTACCTCAAGATAGTACTTGGTGCAATATTTGAGTAACTGTACTGACAAATGTACTTTCCACGAGTAGTTGTGTCCTTTACATTTAATCCCAATGAGAAGCAGCACAGAAACACTTAAAGATCAGATATAAAATAATAAAAACATGTGAATCAAAGCGGCAGGTGAGCTCGTCTGTTCCTGCTGTTTCACATTTACAGGTTAAAGAAAGAAACATGATCCTGTGTGTTTAATCAGCTGATGTTGCATTTAGGCTCCAGTTATCATGTCGTTTTAATAAAACAGAAAACAAACCTGCTGGTTCTTTTCAATAATGATTATAATTATAAGGCTGAGTGCAAATCTACTTAATGATGTTTAAATCATAAATACTTTAATGATCCCTGAGGGGACGCGACGCTCATCCAGACATTAAAGAAATATAAATAATAATAAAGAAGTTGGCAAGTAGAAAATAGAATAAAACATATAAATAGGAGTAGGAATATGTACAGTACTACAGTGTGTGGCAGACGTGCAATGAGTAAATAATGAGTACTGATAGTGCTGAGAGGTTAAATCCTCAGATGTGCAGTATTTGGACAGAGTAAACCAGAGTACTGATATTAGTAAAGTACTGCACAACATGCAGCTTCTGTCCTGACACAATAAAAAAGGTGAAACTAAATATCCAGAGTGGGATGATGCTGCTGGACGAGACGCCGAGGTCAAGTCCTGAATCTCTGCAGCAGCTTCAGGCTGAGACACGAAACACAGGCTGCAGTGTTTCTGTCACACAGGAGAGAGAATCTGCTGCTCACTGAGTGATTAAAGTGATGACACCTGCAGATATGTGACGTCAAACTCGTGGTTAACGTTGTGAAACCTTCGTAGTTTAGAAAAAGACGTGCTCTGGGTTAAAGTTGCACATATTTACCGTTAATTGTTGTGTTTCTATATTTTGTCAATTTGACAAATTGACAAATGTTCACGATATAAATACTCTTCTGCACGACACAAACCCTGAATAGTGCACATGTAAATATCTCCCCGTTGTTCTTTCTCTGCAAATAGTTGTATTATTTTACTCTATTATTCTTATATAACTTGCTTTTGTTTATTCCATATTTATTTATGTCAACTGTATGTTTGTACCTCATCGCCCAAGCAAATTCCTCGTATGTGTAAAAACTCCTTGGCAGTAAATCTCCTTCTGATTCTGAAATAGCCTAACTGTGTTATGTTCTTTAAAATAATTTATAAATACCGTTAACTCTAACTTTGTTTCACACGGGACTCGAACCCCGGTCTCCTGAGTGAAACTCTGTAGAGGCTCTTTGATCGTGTGGCCCTGCTCGCCACTAGAGGTCGCATCCTCACAATACGGGTCGTAATGAGCTGCTGGATGGGCGGGGCCAAACACGACTGCTAACAAGCTAATCTGCTAGCATGTTTTCTGTCATCTGAGTTTTTATTGGGGCCTAATGAAGAAGTGAATTTTGAAAATGACATTTGTTGTCTGGATCATTAATCGTTAGTAACAGTAACTTCGCCTCTTGGTTGTTTTCTGATTGTGAAGCTGCTGGAAGTCTGAACTGGTCCATGAGTTCTGTTTCCAGAGGGCGGCTCCTGCTGCAGGGTCATAAAACAATAAACAAGAAATGTTTTACAAACGTTCAGGTTTTTGGTACAAATAACTCTTTTGTTCAGGCAAATATAAATATTTACAGTTAGAGGACGTGAAACCTTTAAATTGCACAGAGACGTGTTCGGGTGCTTGAGTTTGTGTTTTTGAAACTAAAAATTAAAACGAGATTCAAATTTAAAATGTTTCCAAAATTAATTTAATAAAAAAAGAAAGAGCCCCCTGGTGGTTTGGAGCAACATCATTTCTTAAATATCATCTACGCAGGCCTGTTTAATGTAAAGGTCAGAAAGTTTATGTTTACAGGTTGAATATGAATTATATTAATTATTAAGTTAAGAATAAACTATACGTTCTAATTTAATGACAGACTTTTATTAATATTGTATAAATATTAAAGTTATTTATTAATTTTTTCCCTTTAGGCCTTTAAAGTGAATCCTTTAAATATCTGCAGCTGTATTGATAACAGATTATTTATAGATGCACCTGTCTGTTAATTCTCTGAACAGTTCGATCTGCTCATGAACGCATCATCATTTAAACTCGTTCTTCTTTTACAATCTAAAGTCTGAGACATTAATTATTATTTCTCATCCAGCAAATCAGGGCCGAGCCGCTGAGCCAATCAGGAGCCCCCCTAAATACAGGCGGCCCTACGTCACCGCCAGGTCAGCCAATCGGGACAGAGACCCCCCCCCCCCACCGCTGCTCTCCGTTTCCTCCTCTCAAAGTTTGGACTTTGGAGCTCATAGACAGGAGGACCGGATGATGTTTTATTATCTCACAGAACTTCTTGAACTCAGTAGAGAACGGGTCTTTTTGTCGTCCTGGTCTGGAGGAGGACCTGGATCCGGGTCTGTCTGCGGGGGAAGCTGACCTCTTTCTGGTGCTTTTCTTGCAAGTGGAAGATTTTGGGTTTTCCGCCGGAGCCTGAGATGGGTTTTGTATGTGACCCCAGAGAAGAGCGGGTTTCTGTTTAGTTCTTTCTGGACTCTATCAGGCGCGCGGGGCCCTAAAGACCCGGAGAAACCTGCTCCAGTCCTTCCGGATCCTCCAGAGAAGTGGTAATGTTAGCCGTGGGTCAGATGGACGGGTCCCGACAGAGCGCCTTCCTCCTCAGTACCCCCCCTTTGGCAGCTCTGCACAGCATGACCGAGATGAAGACCCCGCTGTACCCGGCGTACCCGCTCTCCTCCACCGGCCCCAACTCCTCTACCTCACCGGCCACCACCTCTCCCAACCCGGGCGGCATGGCCGTGTCCTCCCCGGGGCTCAAGAGCTCCACGGGGCTGTCCTCCGGGCTCGGCTCCCCGCAGCTGTGCTCCTCCGCCACCCCTCACGGAATAAACGACATCCTGAGCCGGCCCACCGCCGCCTCCTCCGCCGGCGCCACGGTCTCCGTGGCCGCCGCCGCCGCCTCCTCCTCGGCGGGGATCCTGTCCGGGCTGCCCCGGTTCAGCAGCCTCAGCCCGCCGCCGCCTCCCGGACTTTACTTCAGCCCCAGCGCCGCGGCGGTGGCGGTGGCTCGGTACCCGAAGCCCCTGACGGAGCTGCCGGGCAGGACGCCGATCTTCTGGCCGGGAGTCATGCAGAGCCCGCACTGGAGGGACGCCAGATTTGCGTGTTCACCGCGTAAGTGTGTGCGGGGTCTCAGGAAGCAACGGGGTTTTAAAAAAGGCTGTTTAATCCTGTCAGAGCAGAATAAAATAATCTGTGTGATCCGCTGAGTGCTGTAATGTTGTGGAGGCCGGTGCAGCTCAGACTTGTCATGCCTTTATCTTGTTATATTTCAGATCATAACTCCGTGTTACTGGACAAAGACGGGAAAAGGAAACACACGCGCCCCACGTTTTCTGGACAGCAAATATTCGCGCTGGAAAAGACTTTTGAACAGACTAAATACCTGGCGGGGCCGGAGAGAGCCCGGCTGGCCTACTCCCTGGGCATGACCGAGAGCCAAGTCAAGGTAGAGATCCAGCATTTAAAAATAAGAAAACCTCAGCTCCTCCTCTTCAGAGCGCAGAGAAATATATTTGTTCTTTATGTTTTTCACTTGTTAAAAATCAGTTTTCTCCACAGTGACAATCCTTTTTTTTTTTTTTTTTACACCTTTTTTTAAATTAAAATGCTGCAAATTAATTAATAATCTGATTAATTTCAGGTTAAATTAATCGTAAATGCTGGAATATATTTTGGTTTATTAATATTCAAATTAACGCAATTTTCTTTTTTCCGTTTGCGCTAAAAATCTTTTAACGCAGGAGGCCTTTCTGACATTTAGTTGCTCCCATAATGCATCATGTTTATTTCTTGCACCTGCCTTTATTTTTTGTGTGTAGCTATTTTTTATCTTTTGTGCAGGACGTTGTTTTGTTTTTGTTTTTTTTCGCTCTAGAAATGACGTTTAATTGTTTTATTGTTTACCCTGAAATTATTTCCAGATTTATTTAAATGGAGAATAATTCTGCAGCATGAAATATAAATGGTTTTTGCGTGAATCCTGCAGACTTTCAGCCAGTTAACCGTGTGTGTGTGTGTGCAGGTCTGGTTTCAGAACAGACGGACTAAGTGGAGGAAAAAGCACGCGGCGGAGATGGCCACCGCCAAGAAGAAGCAGGACTCGGAGACGGAGAGGCTGAAGGGGACCTCGGACAACGAAGAGGAGGACGACGACTACAACAAGCCCCTGGACCCGAACTCGGACGACGAAAAGATCACCCAGCTGCTGAAGAAGCACAAGCCGGGCCCCGCGCTGCTGCTGCACACGTCGGAGAACGACAGCTCGTAACTCCGCGGGCATGAACCGGACTCTCGGAGCCGGACTCTCGGAGCCGGACTCTCGGAGCCGGACTCTCCTGCTGCAGACTGCTTTATTTCTGGAGGCCGGTGTCCGGACAGACTGAGGAGCTGGACTAACATGTTAAGGCCCCAAAAACAGAAGGACTGGACTCAGAAGACTGAACTTGTAAATAGAAGCGTGAGTTGTGTCCGACAGAAACGACCTGCTGTGAATAAGTTCCGTGTTTCTGTGCAGACCCCAGATCAGCTGAAAACACCCGCAGTTTATTTCGTTTTCTATTTCAGTAAGTCCTCCTCCAGCGGGGCCGCGAAGGCCTCCTCACACATCAGTCTCAAATTAGGAGGGAGACCCTGAACGCACCACACGCACCTGTACAGACACGCGAAGCGGCAGAAATATTTCCTCTCACACACGTTTTTATTTATATGTTTTAAGTTGTGACTGGCGCCTGCGCAGTGGTGTATCAAAGCAGGTTAATGTAATGCACTTTTATTTAATAAAAAACTCAAATGTTTGCTTGTTGTTTTGACAACAGAGGTGGTAATTAATACAGGTGTTTAATTAATTAATGACGAGCAGAGCAGCCGATACATCACCTGCCTTAATCCATTAATCTAATCAATATTCACCATTTAACTCCTTTCTATTTCTACTGCGATCGAATATTTTACTAGCAGAGCTCTTATTATTATTATCATTACTATTATTATTATCATTACTATTATTATTATTATCATTACTATTATTATTATTATCATTACTATTATTATTATCATGACAGGAGCTGCTGCTGTGTCTGATTTGATTTTCGGCGCGCTCCGTTTTTGGCGTTAAATTTAAACTTTAAAACATTTTGAAGATGATTTTGATGAAAAGAGAAAGAGAAAAAAAATCTGCATTTAAATAAATTAACAAACACATTTTAAAACATGTCATATAAAAACAGTGACAGGCTGAAACTGAAGTGTTTATGAGGAGGTAAAAAACGCACCGAAGCGACCGAAGTTCCGGTTCTGCTGCTGACGTTCAACGGCTCACACCTGGGTCCAGGTGTACCTGGCTGCTGCAGCAGGAAGTCAGGTGCCTGAATCTGTGGCCGAAACTGTTTATGAACAAATATACAAGATATTAAACGAAAAAAGTGAAGCTGGTTGAGATTTCAGTTCGTCTCTCTGCGGCAGCGGCACCAGCAGCTCCCCCGCTCCGGGCTGTTTCTGTGAGTCTGGGACTTTAATCACCCGAAGAGTCACTATTGACTGTATTTCTTCATTGGAATTAAACCACACGGGAACAAAAAAGCAAAATTAATCCCATGTTTTAGCTTAAATGTGTTTTTAATTGTAGGCCCTAGTACGTGGGAACTTTGACACAAACTGGACTTGAAACACAGAAATGAGCATAAATCTGTTACACAGATTAACGAAATAATTCATGTTTAATCTAAAAGTCATTCCCACACAGAAACAGGAGCTGCAGAGACTCCGCCTCCCTGCTGGACCTTTCTAACGAACAAAACCTCCAATAACAGAATCCAGATAAACCTTTTTATGATTTTGGAGCTTTAATGCTGAAAAAAGTCCCGCGTTAATCACAGAAAATACATTTTATTGTGTTTATTATAGTTTTACAGCCGGAGAACACAAACACACCGGATGTGTGAGTTTAGATTCAGACTGAGGAGGATTTTTATTAGTTTGGAATAATAACAGAATAATTTAGAGTTGAGTGTTTTACACCTTCAGGCCTCATATTTGTCCTCTAACCTGATGCCCAATAACACAAACTCACAGCGAACAAATCAATCAGCTGCCTGCTGCCAGCTGATTTAAATCCGATTAAATATGAATTAAAATTAATTAAATTAAGCTAACAAAACATAATCTGACGTGTTTCCGTCGTCCTCGGCCCTTTTCTTCGTGTTCTTCTGCAGTTCCTTGGTGACTGAATGAAACTCTTCTTCACGAGTAGAAACACTGAGGTCTCAGATTAAAACGAGTCTGACAGATGAGAGGAGCTCGTCATCATCTCAGGACCCCTGAGCTTTATCGTGTGACCCTTCAGAGGGCCCCGCCCCTAAGGTTGGGATCCGCTGTCACCCCAGGAGGGTCTGTATGAGGACAGGGGAAGAAACTGAATAGGCTATGTAATTAAATTAATATGTCGTTGTTTTGCCAGAATCATACTGAGAACAAAAGCAGCTGATCACATGATCATCACTGAGCTGAAACAAGCTGTTGATTAATCGATTAGGTTATTGGCAGAAAATAAATGTGCAACTATTTTGATATTTGATGGATATTTTCCGTTATTAAAAGTGTACCTGGTTCCAGGTTTTGGCCTGTTGGTGGACACTGTGAGACGTTTGAAGGCGTTAATCTGACATTTTATAAGAAAAAAAAGAAAAGAAAATGATTTTTTATTAGTTGTTTTTTTTTTTTGACAGAATGAGAGCGAGGCCACACGTCCGGGATAAACTCCAAGACATCATACAAAGAGTCCTGTAGAGAATAAATATCGTATTTATATAATAAAACAAACAGAACATCAGTGACATTTATATAAAACTCAGATGATGAACTCAAACTCCCAGCAGCCCCGCTGAGCTTCTCTAATGGTGCTGGTTATTTACTGAACATGAGGTGGAAACTTACTCCGGTCTGAAGGAACAAGCCTCCATGTTGGTGCTGAGCCCCCGTCTGAGAGCCTGGGAGGCCCTCAGGGGCCCTGATGAACCACACTGAGGTCATTAATTATTGGCAGAATAATCGATAATATTAGTTGAAGCCCTGATGTTTCACGTGTGGAAGCAAATAAATACATTTTCTCAAACACTGCACTTAAATACATTTTTGAGGTACTTCTACTTTACTATTTTACGTTGCTTTCTGCTTCTGTCGCTCAAAATATTATCAGCTAATAAATGATGATGTCATTTTACAGATGAAGCTTCTCTGAACATGAAGACATTAAAATGAGCTCCACCTTCACACATGAACGCATCAATAACTTAATTCATATAACATAATATCTATATTTATTGTTAATATAATTAATATGCATCAGAAATATAAAATAAACATAAAATATAAAACATATAAATATAAAATAGAAATGTGTTTCAGTTTACTACAGCATGTGTGATGAATAAACAGTAATAATGATGATGATGATGATGAAGAGAGCTGCAATGAATCTAAATATTAAAAGTTGCAGTGTTAGGATACAAGTACTGCACTTTAATTAATTAGCTGTATTAAGTAAGTAGGCTACAAGTTTTAGTTTCTCGGTCCGACTCTCTGAGGGACGAGTTTGATGCTGGTTGTTTTGGAGGGTTATGTCTTTAATGAGTACTTTTACTTTTAGTACTCTAAGTACATTTTGATGCTAATACTTTTATTCAGTAAAATCTGGCCTGCAAGACATTTACTTGTACCAGAGTATTTCTACAAGGTGGTTTTACTACAGAATTAAGAATCCACCTCTGTGCCAGAACGTCAACATCTGAAACCAGGAGATTAAAAACTGGAACCAAAAATAATCAGCAACTAATTTAATCAATAAATCTGTAATAAAAAAAAAAATCTTTCTCCGGTGACAGTGTCTGTTTTATATTTATATATATATGTTATATATAAATATATATATATATGTTTCATATCTCAGTAAACTGAACGTCACCTTTGGACTCAAAATGGACATTTCCCCTTTTTAAAGACAATTTATAGAAAAACAGCAGTCAAATAGGCTTTTTTCACAACTTCACTCACATCACAATGAAACTTTACATTTATAAACATAAAAAGAAGCTTTTTTAAATTAAAATTCTGTTTTTCAAAGGAGGTATTTCATCATTAAATAAATATGTGCTGATTTCACACAAATCCATTTTCCAGCACCACTGGATTTTAATGGTTTTTATGTGGATTTGTTTTGGTTTTATCCTGATAATATACCAAATATTTGATATATTTACATAATGGTTTATCAAAATATTCAAAATGTACCACCAACATGTGTAGCGGGCCCTTTTTCACCCACATACATATTCACAGATAAAATTCCACATAAAATGAGAATGATAGAGTACATTTCTAAAAACCTCTGTAAATGTAAATGTAAAGTTATGATGATCTAACGGCCTTGTTGGGCGAGGAAAATGACTTGACGGACAGGAAACATGTCAGTTTTAGAAAACGTCACTTAGCATAAACATTACTGGTTGTCACACGAACACATCTCATGTAGATTTATCTGATACCTGGACTAGGCAACATTGTGCTCCAGGAAACAAGCTTTCAAACCATATATGATTAAAAAGACAAAGTCAAACTTTGATGTGGAAAATACTAACAAAGATGACGGACTCTGTAGAAAATAGACAGATAATCATGTTTATATATATTATTCAAATGTGTTTTGTACATTTTATTAAAGTATGGTAATACTAGTTGCAAAACAACTTGAAATTTGAAAATTGACAGATTGAAGCAAATTATAAATTTTGGACTCTGGTGTCTCGCCTTAGTTAAAACACGTTTGTGTAGGGAGATGAAGTTAAACCCCCGGTAATGGAGAGGGACGTCACAGTGCTGACCATCATCTTTCTTATCTGTCTTCTTCTTTTCTAAAACCGTCTTTGAACAGACAATAAAGCACCAGAAAAACGTCAGGAGCAAACTGATCCAGGACGACAGGTCGGTCCCGAAAGATGCCAGTGTCAAGTGTTTTTTTTTTTTTTCCCCAAACAATGTGACACTTCGTGCCAGTATTTGCACAGTGTAAATAAAGTTTTATGGTTTAGAAAGAACATTAATTAAGATTTGTACTTGCCGGTTTGGTTAGGAAAAATGGCCGACACAGTAAGTCACAGTAAAGCTAGCCCGTTAGCTTAGCATACGAGCTTCCACATTTTTTTAGTTAAAAACAAACTTTCCAGCACGATGCAGGATAAACAGCACTCAGATGTCAGTCAAGCATCGCCACGGAGAAGTACAACAAACAATAGAAAATACAAAACACCACAATAAAATCACATATATATCACGTGCTATTTATGCAAATAAGTGCTTTTCAGTGCATTAAAGTGCTGCATCTAGTGTGGGACCACACAACAGGGAGAGAGGTGCTTCAGAGTGCAGAATCATGGAGGATCAACGTCCTGGGAAGCCCAAATATATGTATAAATACACAAACACACACACACACAGTGCTCAGAGTACATGGAGTCCGTCAGTGATCACAGACCCGATGTGTCCTGAGCCATCATTTAAGATAAGTCTTAAATGTGGGGTAGGTTGGACGTTCCCTTACTGCAGCCGGTAAGTTGTTCCAGATCTCAGTTCCTTGAACCGACAATATTTGTCCAAATGCGGTGCGTCTGCAAGGCAACACGGAGTCTCTTCTATTAGAGGCCCTGGTTACAGTTCTGCCACCACCAGTAGATGTCAGTTGAATGTGTTAGTAGTGTTGTAGTACTTGAGACCGGTCTTGGTATCGAGACCGGTCTTAAGACCAC